TGTGACACGACTCTTCTGATCTGTCTGGCAGCTCCTCAGACTCCTTTGCTGAATCTTCATTCGGGTCACAACCACTAGCAGTGGGTGGCCCCCAGGTCTCTGTTCCAGGCCTTGCTCTCTTTTCACTGTATGCCATCTCACTTGGTGATCTCATCAGCTTCCATTTCCAGAGCTCTATCTCTAGTCCACATCTATCTGAGCTACAGTCATTCATCACTAACTGCCAGTGATCTCATTCTCATCTTTTAAGCGAATCTCCCCATCTATCATCACCACTGTCACTTATCCTTCAGTCTTACCATCTACAATAGATGCCCCTCAAAGTCTAGCTACTGATCTCATCATTCAGCTAAAACTGCTTTCTCTGAAGTTACCAGTGATCTCTTAATGGCCAAATGTAAGGTCCTTTTTTCAGTCTTCATCCTTGGCCTTTCTGGAGCCCTGGACACTTCCCAGCACCCTCTTCTTCTCTCTAGGTTTTTATGACGTTGCTTTCTTTCCAAGTTGTCCACCTATCTGTCTGACTACTTTCCAGGCTACTTTGCTAGATCTTCATCCAGGTTACATTTGCTAGCCATGGCAGTCTCCTAGGGCTCTGTCCTGTGCCATTTCCTCTCCTTTTCTCTTTTCTCCTTTTTCCTTTTCTTCTTTTATCTCTTCTGATTCTTCTTCTCTGCTCTCTTCTTCTGTTACACTATTTCATTTGGTGTTCTGATCAGCTCAAATGGATTTAATTATCATCTTTGTATTGATAACTCTCAAATCGACTTATCTAGCCCTAATCTTTCTGCTGATCACCAGTTTTACCCCTCCAAATGCTTATTGGATATTTCAAATTGGATGTCTCATAGACATCTTAAAATCAACATGTCCCAAACCAAACTCATTATCTTTTCCACAAAACACACTCCTCTTCCATAATTAACATTTTGTGGCAAGAGGTACAACCGTGGTCCATTACCCAGGCTCTCAACCTAGGAGTCATTCTCATCTCCTCTTTTTCTCCCCCCATATCCAGTCTTGCTAAGGCCTGGAAATTTTATCTTCATAATATTTCTTGTATAGGCTAGACTTGTATAGCTCTTCAGTCAGAGAACCAAAGTGTACTGATGAGATATGAGCACCAATACTGACATACCTTTATCCTTATCCATATCTATATTCTCTGCATGTACATATATGCACACAGACATGTGCTATAACAGACATATGTCATATACAGCATTGCCATATATTTCTGTCACCCACACACCATATATACTTGATAACATTTGCCACATTGAATATAGAACATATAGTATAAACAATATGAACATAATCAGTGACATTGCCCTTTTATAATAAATGGCATCACACATACATAATGTCATTTATTACACTTGGGTAATATACTACATGAAACACTTGGGTGATATACGTGAGCAATATGTTTGAAGAGATGACTGGCCTGGGAGCCTTCTTAAAATTGAGGAACTTTAAAAATTCTTTACTATTCACTCCGATACTCTGGGCAAATAGGTGGTACGATAAATAGGGCCAGGAAGACTCATCTTTCTGAGTTCAAATCTGGCCTCAGACACTTACTAACTGTATGACCATGGGCAAGTCACTTCTCCCTATTTGCTTGTTTGCTCATCTGGAAAATGAGCTGGAAAAGGAAATGGCAAACCACTATAGTTTCTCTGCCAAGAAAACCTCAAATAGGGTCATGATAAGTCAGACGCAATTAAAAACTGGCTCAACAACAGCAACAACAACAATCAATCAATGCTCTGAATCAGAGGAGTAGTTAGTACTGAGGTACTAATGAGATATGAGTACCAATGCTGAAATATTTGTCTTTAATCTACACACACTTATACTCTCTCTCTCTCTCTCTCTCTCTCTCTCTCACACACACACACACACACACACATATTTTTAATCCCATCTGAGAGGTATGGTTTGTGTTGTGACAACAGGTCTAATTACAGTTGTTTGGATATAATTTTTTTTTGTGGGTTTGAAATATCTGCTGTTCTCCCCACCCTACCCCCACTCCTTCACACACATGGATATCTTTAAGAATACTCTTCCTTCAAGGCTTGACTGAGGTGTCACCTATTCTGTGAAACCTTCCCTAATACCCTTATCTAGAAACTTGTCCCTTGAAATTTTTTTAACAAACCATTTCTCCAGTTTACTCCCTTTCTCTCCTATCAAACTCCATCTTAGATTATACCTATCAGGCTGTATTTCACCCTCACCCTCACTTCTATCATTGAGCACAAAATGTAACTTCCTTGAAGTCAAGGACTATGTCTTTTTAAATCTTTCTATGCCTAGTAACACAATGCCTTACATGTAATAGGGTTAATATTATTCGTTGGACTAAACTGGATTGGACTGCAAAGGATTGGATTGAATTGTACTGAATTGTATTGGGTTGGGTTGGACTGGACTGGACCAGATTGGACAGGTTTGGACTAAATTGAATCAGATTGAACTGGATTGGTTCAGATTGAAATAGACGGAATTAGACTGGGCCAGATTGGTCTGGTTTGGATTGGATTGAACCACATTGAACTGTATTGAACTGGACAGGACCAGTATGACTATATTCAATTGGATTGAACCAAATAGAACTGGATTGGACGGGTTTAACCAAAGTGAACTGGTTTAAACCAGATTCAACCAATTCAAACCTAGATTGATTTGAATCCATTGAACAAGACTGGACCAAATTGAACTGGTTTGGACTGGATTAGACTAGATTGAACCAAATTGGACCCATTTAAACCAGATTAGATCTGTTTGAAATGGAAATCAGATTGAACTGACTTTGACCAGTTTGGACTGATTGAAGCAGATTGAATGAGATTGGACTAAAGTGAGGCAAACTGGATTGTATTGAATTGGATTAGACTGAATTGAACTAGATTGGACTAGACCGAATAGGATTAGATTGGATTGATTTGGATGATAGGCTCGATCAGACTGAATTGGACTGGAATGGATTGGGTTGGATTGAACCATATTGACTAGATTAAACCTGACTAGACTGGGTTAGACTGGACCATGCTGGACTGTATTGCGCCAGTTTGGTCCTGATTGGACCAGACTGGACTAAACTGGACCAGATTGGATCACACTGGACTAAATCAAACACTGACCTAGACTAGATTGGCCTGGACTGGATTGGCCTGGCCTGGACCAGGTTGGAGTGAACTAGGCCCGAATAGGCTGGACCTGACTGCTGGAGTGGACTGGACTGGAATAGAATAGATTGTACCAGAATCTGACTCTAGTAACTAGACTGTACTGGTCTAGACTGCTAAACACACACACACACACACACACACACACACACACACACACGCACACACGTATGTATGTGTTATATAACATGTCTTCTTTAATATACATTATATATAGTGATACTTATATAATATATAATGAGCTGCACACATAACATAATCCATATTTAACATGCACAATACACAACAAACATCCTGAATAATGCATGTCAGTCAATGCTGGATGTCCCATGCATGATAGCTGACACAGAAACATGTGCAATGCGTCATTTATTACCTGTATGTAATATGCTCCATGTAACACACATATATATTGGACAAGTTGGCTGACCTAAAAACCCTCTTAAAACAGAGACGTTAGCAGGATTTCTTTACTATATGCTCCAGAGTATGAGTGTCAACACCAATGCATCCATCTCTATAGCTACATATACACACATGTGATGGATAACACATATTTCATGTACACACAAACATATTTAATGGACATAGCCCATCTTAACCCATATAACACATATTTAATGTATATAACATGTATCCTGAATAATGTGTACATAATTAATGACAGATATACTGCACATGCCTAATAAGTGAAATATCACAATGCAATATATATCATTTATTACACTTGGGAAATATATATTGTGTAATTATATATGTAAACAATATATATGAACAAATCACTGGCTTGGGAGCACTCTTAAAATGCCAGCTTTTGAAAGAGCTCTTCGCCCTGAGCTTCAGTTTTGCAGCCTTCCTGTCAGAGGGTCAGAGTGTACTGATAAGTTGTGAGAGCCAGTGCTGACGTATATCGATATCTATGTCACCCACATACCTACATCCCTATCTATATCTACATGCAGAATGTGTTTTTGTGATAAATAATGTCACACATGGCATTTATTAGATTTATACCGTGCATATAACACGTAACATATATAACACAATATTTAGCATTAAATTAAGTATTATTAATAACATATTGTGTGGTATGATTAAGTGCCATGTCAAACAAGTGTAACATCCTTTATTGCATGTGGGCAATGTACTACATGTAATACATGGGTGATATATGAAATCAAAGACCTCTTTAAGTATTGCCTATGATTCTTCTCAGGTAACTAAGTAGTATACCCTGGAGTCAAGAGTATATGAGTTTAAATCTTGCCTCAGACACTTACTAGTTGTGTGACCCTGGGCAAGTCACTTAACCTCAGTGCCTCAATTCCTCATCTGTGAAATGAGCTGAAGAAGAAAATGGCAAACCACTCTAGTTAGTGTCTGCCAACAAAAACCCCAAGTGGGGTCATGGAGAGTTGGACATGACTTAAACAACTTAACAACAAATGACTTTTAAGAAATCTGAACATTGACAATACATTTGTGCTCAAAAATTGTTGAATGCATTAGTTACGAGATTTTATATTGCTTCAAATCAATGAACTGTAAGTTCACAATTAGAACTAGTAAAGCGAAATGCTTTTGCATTGTAAGCTAATGAGGAGGAAACTGTCACTGTAAACATTGAATACCATAACATTAATTGTTATGAATTAAGCAGAATTTGGGAAATGATCACAAAATGTTTAATAATAAGGGGCATTTATTCAGTTCCTGCTGTGTCCTTATCTCTGTGCTTCACCCTAATCCTTTATGATCTGTAATAACTTTTAGATGCTTTAATGCTTGTTTCTGAAATTTTAGGTATGTTACAGCTCAGAGTGACACTGAAAAAGAGCATGTAGCTGGCCATAAGGCAAATAAAAAATCAGCAAAAAAACTGAGCTTACCTGTTCTTACTCAGATGGTTGATGACTTACATTTAAAAGGTGATTCTGATAAACAGACAAGTTTTGAACTCCTGTGCAACTATAAAAATAAGGTAAGGGAAGTATGATGAAATAACACTCTTATTGATTAAAGTATCATCAATTAAATCTCCTCCACAAAGTCCTACTCTGATGCCTCGTTGTGGTATGGAGGGGATAGATAGGCGCATGAGAGGAAGCCGGGTAAGATAAATGTGTGCAAACTAGCACCTGCCTTCTGAGATTGACAGTCTTATAGTGTCTGTGCAGAGTAGCAGAAGAAGCAAAATGGTGTAGGGGGAGGACCATGGGATTTGAAATCAGAAGACCTGGGCTCCAAAGCTAGCTCTGGCACTTACTACCTGAGTAACTTTGGACAGGCCACTCCCTTCCCCTGACCTCAGTTTTCTCTTCTGTAAAATGAGGGGATAAAATTAAATGAACTCTGAAGACCCTTTCAGCACTTTTGATCCTAATATTTAAATGGTTTAAGACCATAGGATGATAGGTAACCATATGGAGACTAATTTCCTTAATTTAACCAAATCTTACTTTGGCATACATTGACATTCATATTGTCTGTAACACTCATTCTTAAATAGTTGCATTCAGAGAGAACATTTACATCTTAATCAAATCAATTTTCTGATCTAATGTACATACTTTTTCACTTTTTCTTTTTTAGTATAAAGATGAAATTGAGTTTATTTGGAGATTAACTAGAGCTTATGGGGATATGTGTGATCTATCCACAGATGTGGAAGAAAAGAGAAAATATGCTTCTGATGGTAGGTAGTGAGTTTTTAAAGTTGATTACCTTATTATAACTTGTGATATGTACCCAAACCCCTAAAGATTCTGAAAAATAAACCAATTATCTATAAATTTCTTAGTTGAAATCATTATTTTAAAATTACTTTTATTTTACTTAATTGGGATAGATACAACTAAGTAATGCATTATTGGTTATTAAATCTAGACCAATAAACATGTATCTGCTCTTCATATTTAAGGTCAGATAGAAATTTGGAAAACTGGGTATGTTAATTAGACAGGGGAACTGAAGTAAATCACAATATCTAAGATACTTGCCCCTTATAGAAGAAAGCATGCAGTGATAGTTGCGTAAAATCTAAAGACCTCACTTGATTTTCATGGGGTCCTAGAAAGAACACTGGACTGGGAGATGGTGTGTTTTGTATTCTGATTCTGTGAATACCTAGCTGTACAATTGTGGAAAATCTAACCTTTTTTGGGACTTATTTTTCATATAGAAAATTAGTCATTTGAGCCAAATAATCTCTAAGGTCCTTTCAAGGTCTAAAATTCTTGATTTGAATTGCCCATGAGTCTGTTGTTAAATTTTTAGAAAGTTCAGGGATAGAGATTCACCAGTCTCTCTTGATAAACTCTAAGTGTTAATAATAACTCTTGAAGTTTAAAAAAAAAGGTCTACCTTATGTCAAATAACAGAAGTTCAGAGTTAAGAGGAACCTTACAATCCATTTTGTCCATCCTATACCTGAATAATAATCTTCCTACAACATACCCCACCCATGGCTATCTGATCTCTGTTGAAGACTTCCATGAAGTTAGATCTCCCTGCATCCTAATATATCATGTTTCTTTTGTGGATTGCTCAAATTTGTTAGGAAGGTGAGAGGGTTTTTTCCCCTCCTATATCAAACCTAAATCTACCTCTTTGCTACTTCCATCTTCTGCTCCTATTTCAGAACTCCTGGAACAAATAGAACAAATCTAATCTATTTTCCACACAATTGTCATTCAGATACTTAAAGATAATTATTATGACCTGCATATGTCTTGTGTTTACCAAGGTTAAACATCCCCAAATGTTTTCAATGTAATTTAAGCCAATTTCTTCTTGTTTGGTCTTCTATGGAAATAGATATTTTTCATACTAACTTTCACATTCTTAAGGATAGTCTTAATGTCATGTAGTAGTAGGAGGAGGAGGTGGTGCTGGTGGTGATATTATTGTTGCTGCTGCTGTTGCTATTCCTAATAGAATATAGGCACCTTGAGGGCAGGTATTGTTTTTCATTTGTCTTTGTATCCCTGGTACTTAGAGGCATATAGACTATAGTCTCTTGCCAACTAGGCGCACAATAAACTGTTGTGGATTGATGAGAGCAATGACCATATATTTTTATCTCCTCCAGTATCCAGCATAATACTCTGTACACTGTAGGCACTGAATACATAGTTGTTGATTGACTGAATACAGACATACTGTAAATCCAAAGGGCAATATCAACGTCAGAGTCCAGGTCTCCAGACAAGCCAAAGTTTGAAGTCCAAGATCAATTACAACTCCAGTCAAACTAGCTAAGTAAGCTATTGACTCTCAAGATGGGAAATGCATAAAAGTACATTAATTCTGATCATTGCCATTTCATAGATTATCACCATGTAACTTAGAGAAGTTTGAGCAATGTAAAACAGTCACCAGTCAGGAGGCCAAAAGAGTTTAGAAAATATCTCATGTGATAACAAAACAAAATACTTAACTTCTTTGCCGATGAAAGAAACATAGCAACTAAAAGTAACACTGATTTAAAGTACAAATTCATTTGCAAAGCATTAGCTGTGGAGAAGAATTAAAGTCTTATCATATTGCCTCCTAAAGCAGAAAAAGCAATAGAAAGAGCACCTTTAAAGACTTTTCTCTAAAAAGGTATAACCAGTCTATACTTAGAACAGAAATCTACCTTAGAGCATACCTAATAAATGGTTATCCAGCTTTTGTCCAAAGATCTCCAGTATGGAGCAACACACCTCCTTTTCAAGCAGCCCTATTAGGAAGTTTTCCCTCACATCAAACCTATATTCATCTCTTTGCAACTTTCATCTATCTCTCTGAGTTCTTCCCTCTGGGAAAAAGCAGAACAGGTGTAAACCTCCACTCCACATAACAATCCTTAAAATATTTGAAGACATCATACCTTTCCTAAGTCTTCTCTTCCCTACCTCCACGTCCCCCAAATTCCTGCAATTGATCTCCGCAAGACTTAATCTTGAAATCTTTCCTTTCAGGGGAAACAAACACTGAATAAAAAAAGTATATTTATTTTACAGGAAAAGACCTGGGTGAAAGAGCAATTTCTCAGGCTCCCAAGAATGGATATTGTCACCTATGGTAAGTAAAGGCTACTTGTGGTTTCTTCTAAAGTCTGCTTTAGAAGTTGTAGCTGAAATTTCCTTGACCCTAGTTTATGCAGACCTTCACATTCATCAAATTATGTTTGTAATAGCATGTAACAAAATTGAACTCTACATGCCCCTTTATGTCATCTTTGACTGATTATCCTGCTAAGTTAGGTTATTAATCTAAATTGTTGTTAGAGATGGTATCATAGGTTAAATCTTAAAATGGAATTTTGAACATAAAATGTGAGTAGGAATCACCTATTCCAATCCCTTCATGAATCTCCAATCTGAAGAGCCTAGGTAACTTTCCCAAGCTCTTGTAGCTGGTGAGTGGTATAACCAGCACGAGGAACCAAACTTTTTCACTCCCAAGACACTGTTTTTCTCACTCTCACATCCTGCTTGCAATTCACAGTAGCTAAATCTATCATTTCACTCTCAGTTGAACAATGAAATTAATGGTATTTTCATGAAGATGAAATGTATGAATATTGTATTAAAGATGGAATTATTAAAATGTCCAAAATGTTCCATATGTCTGTTTGATAAATATTGTTTAGTGATAGAGATAGTTTGAGTTGTCATGTTTTTTGACTAAATATAATTAAAACTATTTTATATATATATATATATATTTCTGCCATTTTGAAATACATGCATATATATACACAATATACATATACATGGGAGCTTGGTGATAATAGCATCAGTAAAATCTAGATATAAAAATTTGAAATCACCCCCAAGAGTATTTAACAAATAGAAAACTGAATCCTGATATAAGGTGAACCAAAGGTTCCTATGACAAATAAAACAAGGATTTCTTCCTATGATAATTTTAAGACTGACCCCTAAAAATGATTCTCTTCCAAGTTTTCAAAGGTTAATTCTAATTGTAGTTCATATTATTTTGAAGTACTTCGAGAAATAGTTCAGAGTAGTTTCTTGAATTTTCTGTCATGTTTGGAAAGGATAATAAGGCTTTTAGAAAAGAAGACACATCACAAATGGAAATCAGAGCAGGTCTCTGAATCATAACACCTACTGAGATAGAAAGTATTGGTGACTTTGGAAATTTTTGTTCATATATGCATGTTTTAATTTTTTTTTTCATAAAGGATGCTCCCTGACCTTTAGCCCATGGGCTTTAGGCTAGAAAGAAACTATAACAAGATATACCCAGGGCAGGGTAGGAAAAGGGTCCAAATGTAAAGTGGCAGTAGAATGTGAAGTTTTCTAGGTTGTTTTGTGAGTTAATATATTTAAGAGAAATTGTTAATTCGATAGTTTACAAAGTAATTCAAACTGATTTATAGGTGTCTCTGTATTTTGTCTGAGGCACTCAGTTGCTGGGGCAACAGCACCCTCTAGTGCTTCAAATTACAAGCCACTTCACATTGATGAACGTAGATATAACCTTTTTGTGTTTAACTAAGCATTACTTTGGAATTGTCAGGCCAGTTCCTGAGCAAAGGTCATTTGAAAGTTCACTCCTAGAAACCAGGATAAGGAAAGCCAAGAGAAAAAATTAAGAAAAATACCTAGGGTCCATCCAATCAGTTGTCCCCACAGAGATAAATGATAAAACAGAAGGATAAAGTCAGGTGAAAAGGCAGGAAGCAATGCAAACAGAATAACCTGATGTTTCCCAGAAGGCTTTCTCTGCTAGAAGGCAGGCTTCTGTTAGGCAAGAGAATAGGAATGAGTCCTTGGCTAAATGTCTGTCAGTTTCAATTTTATTTGTGAAATATCTCAGCCTCCATTTCAACTTGCCCTAAACCAGGGATGGGGAACCTATGGCCTCGAGGCCTCATGTGGCCCTCTAGGTCCTGAATTGTGGCCTTTGACTGAATCCAAACTTCACAGAACAAATCCCCCAAGAAAATGATTTGTTTTGTAAAACTTGGATTCAGTCAGAAGGCCACACCCTAGGATCTAGAATGCCACATGTGGCCTTGAGGCCAAAGGTTCCCCACTTCTGCCCTAAACCATTAAAGTCTTTGGCAAATTCCTTCCTCTTTATGTGGCACAGTTGCGTGTAAACATTTTCTTCATTTTCAGATCTCTCTTCTTTGTCTCAGACATGAGAGCACCTAGTGAATAGAGGTCCAAGGCTACAACCAGCTTGTGTTCCTTTTCTATATAACTATAACATCTATAGACAAGACATTACAAAATGGCACATCAGTTTCTTAGTGGCTAGGATAGATAAACTTTCTTTTTTTCTTATTTCTCTCTGCTTTTCCAATTTTCCTGACTGACTAATATCAGTTAGTCAATAAGCATTTATTAAATGCCTACTACATGCAAAAAAATGTGCTAGGCACCAGGGATAGAAATATAAAAATGAAACAATCCTTGCCCTCATGGCACTTATTGTTTTATAAGTTAGATGGTGCAGTGAATAAGTAGTGTGGGACTTGGAATCAGGAAGACTTAAATTCAAATTCTGCCTCAGATGCTTATTAGTGATCCTGAGTAAGTCACTTAACCTCTCTCAAGCTCAGCTTTTTCATCTCTAAAATATGAATAATAGTAATAGAGGGTTATTATGGCGATTAAATGAGAGAACATCTGTAAAGCTCTTTGTAAACCTTAGAGTGCTATATAAATTCTAGCTATTATAAGTTTACATTCTGTTTCTACCTGACTTTGCAGAACATCTCCATATTTCTACCATTCTCACAAGTTCCTTCATTCAAAGTTTGTTAACAATTAATCTGACTGCATGGTTTATTACAGTATTTTTATTTTTTCTATTTATGCTGGTGAGTTGTTTGGAAAAGGTGTTATTATAGGGACAGCTAGGTGGCACAGTGGATAGAGCACCAGCTCTGCAGTCAAGAGGACCTGAATTCAAATTCGGCCTCAGACACTTGATACTTATTAGCTGTGAGACCCTGGGCAAGTCACTTCACCCCAACTTCCAAGCTAAAAAAAAAAAAAAAGGTATTACTGTAGTGAAATCATGTATCTAGTCAAAAAACAAGATCTGTGTAGGGGAAGGGAGCTAGGTAGCTTTGTACCTTACAAAATATGAGGTTCTGAGTGGCCCCCTCCCTGAGGGATCCATTCTTCAATGATTATAGAGGCTGCCAAATTGGTAGTGACCTCTTTATAGCCAGGAAAGGAAGTATCAAGAAGTGTTTTACATTTAATTGCACCTTTGTGAGCATAAAAACATTTCTCCAGGATTGTGGGACTGCATTAAGCGCACTAATACATCTCAATGAAGCTGAGCATTGGTGCATCTATGTGGAAAGCAGTTTGGAATTATGTGAAGAAAGTTACTAAAATGCCATGCCCTTTGACCTAGAGGGTCCCCTGCTAGGCGGGAATCCTGAGAAGGTCATTAACAAAAAGAAAAGCTCCACATACACCAAAATATTTATAGCAGCACTTTTTTGGGGGGGGATGGGTGAGGCAATCAGGGTTAAGTGACTTGCCCAGGATCACACAGCTAGTAAGTGTCAAGTGTCTGAGATTGGATTTGAACTCAAGTCCTCCTGACTTCACGACCAGAGCTCTATCCACTGTGCCACCTAGCTGCCCCTTATAGAAGCACTTTTAATGTTAGCAAAGAATTGGAAACAAAATAGATGTTCATTAAGGAGGGAATGACCAAACCAGTTGTAGTACAGAAGTGTAATAGAATGTTACCATGTTGTAAGAAATGATGAATGTGATGAACACAGAGAAGTGTGGAAAGATTTCTTTGAACTAACGCAAAATGAAACAAGCAGAGCCAGGAAAAACACCCTAATAATAACAACCCTAGTAATAACCCATATAAAAAGGAAGGACAATAAAACAGTGGAAACTGAGTGTCAAGACATTATAATGGCCAGAGAATGCACTTCTCTCTGGATCTTTGAAGTGGGGAACCGTGTGACTGAAATACTGAATATAACGTCATATTTTTTAAATGTTGTTTAGTTTTGTGAAACTTTTTTTTCTTCCTTTTTACATACTTCATTATAGAAGATGGCTTTATGAAAGGAGGTAGAGAGAGAATATAGTGGGAAATATAGGGGGTATAAAATAAGACATGTCAAAATTTATTTTAAAAAAATAAGTTCATTAATTAATTTATAAATATACAATACATATAAATATAATAAATATTAATAAATTAATGAAAATCAGCGCTGTCCCTGATGGTCTTTAAAGAGTAAAGTATTCTCTAAGGAGTCAGTCAAGACATCCATTTCTTATTTTTCCTAGCAGAGCTCAGCAAGTGGGGGGTAGGGACTTCTTTCTCTTCTCCTCTTTCACGGCAGTGAGGTGCATTGCTCTGAGTGGCACAAGTCAGCAAGAGGAATCTGGAGAATCAGCCCTGGAAATTGGAAGGCGAGCTTTGGAGAAGAGCAGAACCTAGGAACCCAGCCTCTCGAGAGAGTGAAGTCTGCCCAGCATAGACAGGGCCCAGCAAGGAGCGACATCAGAAGAATGAGTTGCTGGTCACAGAGAGTGTGCCTCTCTACTAGCGTACTTTATGTGCGTGCATATTGTTGGAGAGTGCAAGCCTGGTTTACGGGGTAGAATGTTTTACAGCTATTGTTTTTATGATGTCTTTGTTCTGAGCTACTTGTCCCCCGGCTGACTATCAAAGGTAAATGTAGCAGTAGGGAGATCCTGCGCTGTAGTTTTAGGGGAGCAACATCATAGAGTATCTTGAACTTGGGGTAGACTTCATCTTCAGTGAGCTTCCTTGTGAGTGCAGATTCTGGGTAGGGGGATAGTCTTTTTTGTTTTGTTTTGTTTTGTTTTTAGGCAATTGGGGTTAAGTGACTTGCCCAGGGTCACACAGCTAGTAAGTATCAAGTGTTTAGTCTGAAGCCGGATTTGAACTCAGGTCCTTCTGACTTCAGGGCTGGTGCTCTATCCACTGTGCCACCTAGCTGCCCCAATAGGGGGATAGTCGTAAAGGAGGTGCTACATGAGAAAGTCACCTGAAAGTGCTCTGACATTTACACTATCTTTCTTGGT